AAGATTTTTTTCGGAAAAATAAAGTTCTGAGGAAAGTGGGCGTTCCTGATGATCTTGGAAAAAAATATCACATTTATAAACTAGGAAAATGGTAATTGTTGTATTGGAATGGAAGACATATACAGTTATTTGCATGCTTTAATGTGATGGTTTGATATAAATCGATTGCTAAGCTGATCAGGGGTGAAAGCGAGACGGAAAAGAGGAAAGGCAGGCAGTAAAACCATTTCAGTTATAGCTAGTTTTGGGGAGGAGTTTACTTATTCTTTTTTTAAATTTTTCAACAATATCTACTTTATCTTGGAGAAGAAGCAGTTTTATATATATGCCAGAATAATAAAAGAAATCTTGATAGTTACAGATATTTCATTTTTTTCGAAAAAAATGCTGGAATGAAATGTTTTACGTACCAGGTTTTTCTCTTTTCCGTCTTGCTATATAAGGGCTTTCATCCATGAAGCTGATAAGCTAGGCTGGTCAAATAAAAAAACTGTCGGTTAAGTCTCCGAAAGAGCAATCCATTTACGAAACGAAGTACCGATTGACCTTTTGTATTATTTATAAGAAGAAAAAAAAATTCAAATTAGAGAATCTCTTACCACAACCAAATCAAATATTTGCATAATCGTAAAAAAAAAAGTAGATAAAAAAGAAAATGCTTTTGATGTTGTTAATTATATTAAATTTTTTTATTGATATACAAAACTTTACACTAGCATTTTTTAAAAAAAATTTAAGTAATCAGAGAAATAAATAGAAATTTGCATCCGTGGAGTCAGGGGGCTCTCAGTTATGAAGGGTTAAATAGCCTTTGCTATTACATACAATAGATAGCTATTGCAACTAAATAATTTAACGAAAAATTAAATATCAGGTATATTACAAGTGATTGTATACTTTTTTTGCTTTTTGTGATACAAGGCAACAAAATGTATGTTTTGTTATTTGATTTTTGGTTTTTAAATTTTATTTAAAATTATTCTTACCTTTGGGACAAATAAGTTATTCAAGCATATACTGCAGAAAATCTAACGAAAATACTCTACCAAAATAAAGGTATATTAATAGCGAGTTTTTTTTTTTTCGTTTAAACATTTTGAGGCAGAATTTCTATTAAAATTTTTTTTAATACTTTTTTTTCAATACTTTCGTTTTAATTTAGGTCAAAAGAAGCGAAAAATATTTTATTTAGCATTTTGTAATTTTTGTTTATGAAGTACGGCATGAAACACAGGTGTCTTTTTCAGCGTTAAAGGTAAAAGCTTCTACACAAGGTTCAATTTTAAACAATAATTTTTTTCAAAATTGCACTAATTTTCAGTTATTTAGATCAAGAGAAACATTTATTCATCATGAATTTTTTTTAAAATTTACTGAGATAATCATTGATAAATTTCTGAATATGAATTAAAAAATTAAACTAGCTTTTTTTAAATTTTATATTTTAATGCAAATATAATTCCGATAATTGAACAGATTTTTTTCAGTAACTATTAGATTGTTTTATTTTAAAATTGAAAAATATCAAAATATACTTTTGCTCCTAATTAAAGCGTCAGAAAGAGAATATATATAAAAGAGCAACCGGTTTCCCATCTGCGTCGATGGGTTATACTTTGCTTAAAACAATTAAAGGATATTGAATGATTGATACATTATCGACAGACGTACTAGGCAAAATGAGATAAAAATTATATTTATTTGGGGGGGGGGAGCGCTTTATTGAGCATTTGGGTACAAAAGGAAAGATAAGGTTCAAGTAAGTATTACGTTATGTTAAAGTGGGTATTTCAGAATGCTCAATAAATAGCGTTTTTGATCAGAACTATAAGCTAACTAACACCACTGGTGTTGTCTTTAAAATATTTAACGAAACTGAATTGTCTATGGCTTAGTTTGAAACGATGGCTTCTGCTAAGTCAATGAGAAAATTTAATTTCTTAAATGTCTCCGAATTTAAAAATCAAATTAAAAATCGAAAATCGGACTTCGTTAAAAGTTTGCGAATGAACTCATCTCACTTTGTGTTGAATTTCGTATTCTTGGAGTCTACCATTTACCCGCAATCGGGTATACACACACAAGTGTTTTTAAAATCTCAAAATGCAAACAAATTATGGTAAGATTAATCAGGATGATGAAATGGAGGAGAAGCAATAATTTGTTTGCATTTTGATACTTTTGTGGTGAACCACCTTCTCACCAGATGGCAGTGAACTCTGCTCGCCAGGTGGCAGTGCAAAACATTTCTCTCAACCTTTTAATAAGATGGCAACATCTCTTGCGTTCAAATTTTAGTTTCCAGAATCTGGCAGCAGCTTAATATAAACATTCATTCGGGCTTGCTGACCGGTGAACATTCACCTCCTTTAAAAATGCTGCTGTCGTTAATCATGTATGTCTTTTACATTGTAACTTAATATGATTTCTTCTTTTTTTTTTAATATTAAACTGTTGTGATTATTAATTTTATTGAATCAATTTAATTAATACTATTTAATCTTAATCTAATCACCACACTTTCAATTTTCTTTATTTCTGCCTTTGAAACTTCATGTCTTACTCTAAGCTTAACTGAACTCACTTTTTCTGTAAACTTTAAATTACTGGCGAAGGTGAAATAGAATTAGTCATGAAAAATTTCTTCCCTTGTATAGTGTCCTCTTAAAAATGCTGTTTTACATTGGTTGTTTTAAAGAGATGTATGGAGCGAAGAAAAATCACTTTTTCTTTGCTACATTGTCATCACACGAAAAGCATAGTTTCATGGCTACAATTTACTTTCTTCCGTCGCACCCCCCCCCCTTCTTGTTTGAAATCCTTTGAGAACACTCTCAAGGTCATTCTGTTGAAGTCTGAAGCTGTGGGAGAATTAACGATAAAATTCTACCGAAATACCGTATCAAAAAGTGATTATTTAAATGCGCGATTAGAAATTCGCGCGTCGTAATAACATCGTAATTAAATAACGGCATCGTCAAAATCACGTGGAAAAGTATATCAATAATTGGAGAGTAAAAAATCACTTAAATTTAAGCTTAACTCAACACGAATAAAGCGTGTCCAATGCGCTATTTAAAATACGTCGTAATAAAATTATCGAATTTTTTGCACTACATGGGATTGCATAGCAATAATTGGCGGAAAAAAATGGTTGAAAAAGAGAAAGTTATAATTGAAAAAAAAAAGATAAAAAATCATTTAGATTTACGATTGAGTCACTTAGATTTTAGATTTACGTCATGAATAAAGTGCTCCAAAAAGCGAATATTTAAATGACCGATCTGAAACTCACATGTTGTAATAATATCGTAATAGAAGTTCGAGATAGTCAAAATTGCGTTGAAATGCGTAAATAACAGTTAAAAAAATCATTTAGATTTAAGATGAAATCAGCTTAAAAAAGAGCACTAAGCCTACATTTGCTATAGAATCTGTAAAAATTGACTTTTTTCTTTTTCTTTATTGTTATTATTTCCCTTTTCGGTTGATATACATAATAAAAAAAAATTGACTTAGTTAATACAATTATTTTTACCTTTTATTGTTGTTGTTGCTGTTGTTTTCACTTTCCTTAAAATTTGTTACAATTTTCAGGAAGGAAAAAAAGTCGCACTTAATCTCATTTTGTGATAGTGATTGCAAATTTAATTTCTTTTAATCATTATTAGTTTTATGCATAATCTAAATTCATTTAATTTCATCATTTTTTCTTCTTCCTTGTAACTATGTTTTGTTGCTCAGGTAATACTTCTTTCATCCTACTGTCTGGAGGAAAACATGCCAGACATGCTTGCTTTTAATGAGTAAGTTTAATTTTTTACCTCCCTGTATTTCTGGTTAGTTTTTTACTTTTCATGGATAGATTAGTTGCAGGGAATAACTTCCTTCCTTTTATTGAAATTTGCAAATATTTTTCGATAAATGCTTAAAATTTAATAATTTTAAGATTTTGTGACTCGGCTTGAAGTAGCATTTAAAGGTACCATTTCTTAACAAGAATATCTGTAAAAATTTAGAATTATAACTTAATATCTTCTGTGGTATTAACGGCATACGAAGCTTGAATCGGTATATTCAGGCAGAAAAATTGACTCTTCAAAATTGATACCTTCTTCCTCTTCGATGGACTCTTCCAAGATTCGGCTCCTTTGTGCACATTTCTGAATGATTGTGGTTGGCAACTGTTCCGTACTACCACCAACAGATTTAAAACATTTTTACTTTTTTCAACCTTCAAAAGGACAAAAATATGCTCACAGTGGTGATTATCAAGCTTTCTGCTAGTTGCTAACTGATTTCTGCCTTTTTTAATTAAAAATACGCCCCATATGCATTTTTTATACATTAAAAAAAAAATATGGAATTATTATGATTATGTCATAATATTTTGAAATTTTTTTTTATTTTCCACTTATTTCTTAACATTTTTCTTCATTTTAGAAATGAGTCTTACAATGTTTATCATCATTTGAAAAAGGCTAAAAANCGGCCCGAAAGGGTTAAGGCTCTTTTTTTTCTCTATATCTCAGAAACACAATTAAAATTAGTTTTTATAAATTTCCGCCATCCTATTTATTAATGGTTTATTATTTCAGTTTAATTTACACAATTTTACAGATGTTATTATATTGGATGTTCTAATACCATGTGCAATCTATAGTATGCATATTATTGCTGTTGGTGCTATATATAAGAGCACGAAAGAGAGAGAGAAAGAGCGATTCGTTATCAATTAGACAAGATTTAAAAACCGTCTCGATTAACAACTTTTGTTTTTTCTAATTTATTGTTTGAAATCCTTTGTTTCGTTCTTGTGAGAGCTAATATCAGTGAAATAAATAAAAAAACTTTAGATAAATTAAATTTTTTGTCCATATGCATTTTTTATACATTAAAAAAATATGGAATTATTATGATTATGTCATAATATTTTGAAATTTTTTTTATTTTCCACTTATTTCTAAACATTTTTCTTCATTTTAAAAATGAGTCTTACAATGTTTATCATCATTTGAAAAAAAATAAGCTTTGCATTTATACAATATTAAAAGTTTTCTTGATCCTTTAAAATTTTTAATTTTAAAAAAGTAGCCGCATGTTTCGAAAAGGGACCACTGTTTAAAATATCGCAGCTGAACACTGACCAGTAGAAAATTTTGTAAGTTTGTCCTTCTTAATATTTACATTGTTTTAAAGTAAACTTTTATTTATTACTTTAAACTGTAAGGTATTTTTTTTACTGCAGGGTACATCTTGACGATGGTGATCGTTTCACACAGTTGGTGAAACTGTTTGATCCAGACATGGCTCAGGGGGTGTCCCATAATGGCCATGTGTATGCCATGACGAAGGCCAGCAGCACCCTCTCACCAGTTGCTGCTGTCAGAGAAAAAACATCTGGCTTGGTTCAAGTAATCACACTTTTTATTTTAGGTTGTCAAAGAAATGTTGATCTCTAAGTTAAATTTGACTAAAAGTTTGTTATAATTATACGCATTTGCTTAATGTGGTAGGAAGATTGCACGCATATCATTATCCACTATTTAAATTGATCACATTTGATATATACCCAAATATCATTTGTTGCTTTTTAAGAGTCATGTGTAAATGTACCAACCTTCCCCCCCATTTTTTTTTCTTTAGACAGAAAAATTTATTCAAAAGTAAAATAAGTTTTTGCTGATATTCAAATTAAGTATTTTTCTCTCTTTCATTTAGTTTTTATCTAAAGATTCTACGATTTATATTCTTTTTTCCTTTAGTTTAGATTTTTTGATTCTTTCAAAGAAGCATTTTTTATTGAATGTTTTGTTTGGAAATATTGGGTTTTGGAAGCAAATTGCTTCAGTTATCAGTTAGGAATTAAAATTTTATCTTTTAAGGACTCTGTAAAGTTTTTTTTAATTCAATTACTATAAAAAATTTATGTGATCTAATATAGAATAAAAATATCTAATACAGTTTTTAAGCACTTTGTATATTAAAATCTAGAAAGATTTAGAGGAAAATAGCATTTATTGTTCTTGAAAAAACAAAGATCTTATTTTACTTCCTTTAATTTCCAATTATATCCTTTTAAGCTCACGTTCTTGAAAAATTTGGCTGATGCTTCTAGCCATGATGAAATACTTCAAAAGATTAGGAGGTTAGCTGATAACTTATTTCACCAAAAAGATCAGAAGGTATCTATTTAATATCTTAGTATATATTTTTTTCTTGTTCACTTTTCATGCTTAAAATTATAATAATATATATTTATTTGAATGAGACATTTTTATTTATATTTATTGGCCTTCTGCGAAGTTTTTAATCTTCATATAATGCATTGCGTAATTTTACATTGCATGATATTTATTGCATAATTTTATGTTTCAAATTGAATAAGTAAATTTACAATTCTTACTACAAAGTGTTTTTTAATACACTTGTATTCATAGGGCAAGCAGTAAATTTTAAATATTTTTTTCATTTTATTCTAGTTTGTCAAAAAATCAGCATATCTCCAGAGTTGCCATCTCGCAAAGAGAACAGGGTAAACCAAGAAAAATCACTTGAAAATGCAAGGAATTTCGAGTTTTTCTTCAGAAACTGGAAAAAAACAAGGAATTTGGCTTCGTTATTTTCGTCTTTTAAAAATTGTGACCACTCAAAATGGAATATTTAAGAAAGATATTTCAGATATACTGAACAATTTCATTTACTATATCAGTATTTGTCTTAAGTCTGTTCAGCTGTTCCTTTTTCCTAGAAATTTTTCAAGCAATTGAAACTAGTATAGTTAGCCTAATACACAAGAGCAGAGTGATTGTGTTTTTTCCTCTTAATATAGTGTGAAAAATATTGTACAGTCCTAAAAAAAAAAAAAAAAAAAAAAAAAAAAAAAAAAAAAAAAAAAAAAAAAAACGAATCACCCTGAATAACTTTCCTTCTAATGATCGAATTTTCAAGTTTTCAAGTACTAAGTGCCAATCTTAATTTTTTTACATATTTAAATTTTTGACCTTCAAAATATAGGGGCAAATTTGGGAAATGTGGTCCCTTTTGTTAGGAGAGAGATCCAAAGTTTGGACCCCTTAATGTTACCTTCACTTTTTGAGCTTAGCAACCTACACTGCTCAAAAAAATTAGGGGAGCACATGGCTACCCTAATTTTTTGAGCAGTGTAGTAACATTAAGTATTCTTCTTTTGAATTAGTCTATGGGTTATTATAAAATATTCATTTGTGGCGGCGACTTTTCTTGGCTGTTTTCTGGACAATCGTCACCTTTATTGCGACCCAGTTTACGACCCAATTTTTTCACAATTTTGTCTACCCCCCCTCCTAATTCACGGATCAGGATTCCAAACGTGCAAAAAAATATATGTTCATTCAGAGAAAGTGCGCTTTAGTGTCCGATTCGTAACTTAATTGTTTTGAGGACTGTACATAATGGAAATAAATCTTTTATTTTACGGAAAATAATTAAATTGTTTTTATGTTATAGCGTTGTTTATAATTCTTTATATGTCAAAATTGTACAAAATAGACCAAAAGCACATATTTTTAATTTCTTAATATTTTATGTTGAAGATATACAATTTAGTAAATATAGAGTTTTTTAGTACGCTACAGTAATTTTAATTATTTAAATATAGTTAATAATGTTCTAACTAAATTGTAATACTAAATATCGTAATTTTTATCATTTAATTATAGGAAGAGCACCAAAACTAAAATAATTTGTTTGCCATTCGTAGAATTTGTAGAAAATATTTTTTTTTTATTATACTTTTCTATTAGAACCATTTAACGATTAAGATATCCCAAATAAGATATTGAACTATTTTGTCTATTTATGAAGCCTGGCTACTAAATAACAGGACTGTGCATGCTGTTAGACTTAATGAGGGGGAGAAGGAATGAAATGTAGTTGTTCTTGATGCGGTGGAACGATCCTTTATACTGTTTAGTTTGCTTCTTATCCCAGGTATGTGATTCTTCCGCTAATTTACGAAATTCAGCGAAGCTCAAGATCGCGTATTCACCGACTTCCGATAATTTGAAATTTAAATTTCATTACTCTGCATAAGTCTCGTTAAGGAGACATTTATTCCGCCCTTACCAGTGCACTCATTTTTTCTTCTTTTCTTCCTAGGTTCTCATTCACGAACCATGACTTTTTTTTACGCTCTTTTGTTAGAGAAAATGATACTTTGGATAAACTTCAAGAACACGAAATAGAAAAAAAAATCCATAGAAACTTCGTCTAGAAATAACAAGCTACTGAGGCAAATACAAAAGGATACTATTGATAATCTAAAAACGTATTTCGAAATGACAAACATTTAAAAGATCGTTCGCTAGAAAAAGTACTAAAACTACACAATAGTGAAAAAAATACAGAAATTTTTTTTTATGCTATCACATGTCTGTTATCCTTGTTTGAGTAAGGCATTTTTGTCAGAGTGTCTTGATAATGATAAACTTAAAATTTAGCTAACATTTTAGCAGCGTTTTATTTTGAAATTCTTTGAGAAATTAAAAAAAAATAATAACTGAATGTTTTAAATTGCAAAAAAAAGATTGTTAAAGGAGAACTGCGTGTCGCGTAGTGAAATTTTTGAATGGCTAAAGCGATTTTCGAGAGGTTGAAGTTGCTGAACCTCTGGTCGACTTGTGATATAAAGAACTGATAAAAACATTTAAAAAATGAATGAAATCGTGCGTGAAGACCGAGTGTTTCGGTGACGTCCGATATTCTAAACATTGGCAAAGACAATAAGAAAAATTTTGATGGATGACCAAGGATTCGCACAAGACTGAAGTTTTCACAAAACAGTACATAAAAACCTGACGAGCGAGTTAAAAATGAGCTGGAAAAATATTTGCTCTGACACCAAGGAATGCTTCACAGATAGTCCCAATTGAGAATGTCAGTCCATGTGACGAAACTTGGATTTTTCATTTCAACCCTGAAACTAAGCCACTTCACTTGAAAACCCTCATATTCAATGAGAAAGTCCAAAGCGAAGGTCGTCCTTTTCGGTATGAATGGATCATCCTGATTGAATGGGCAATGGATGTCACGAGAGAGCTTATAGGAAGAAAAAGCCAGATCTGTAGAGTAACATAACAACAGAACGATTTTGAACCAAATCAATGCTCTGGCATACAATGACGTGCACCAGTCAGTATTCACAACATGGGGAGTTTTCGGTCAACAGGGATTGAACTCACGACCTCTTAGTTCAACGCCCTACCAACCAAGCTTTCCCAGCCCTATATAATGATATGCATTTTTTTTTTCATTTGTATAATGCTTTCATTAAAGCTAACTTTTAAGACGGTTATTTAATTTTCAAACTTCACACATAAAATATATTTAGTTGATGAGCTTTGTAAATTTATATAAAATGAATCAAAATAAGGTTTTTGCTAAAGAATATACTTTGTATTAGCCCTTTGTACTCAAGAAGTGCCTCCCAATTCATTTCTTATGGAAAAAATTCCTATTTCACTGCAATTATTACTTAAATATTGATTTGAGGCATGTATGTTTTTTTTGTTTTCATTTTTGAAAAGAATTCTTAAAGTGCATATTAAGGGCAGTTTTTATGAAACACCCCGCATTTGCGACGACGTTAAAAAATAAAAACAATGCTGCATCTAATCCATCATCTAATTTGTGAACTGCATAAAACTAATAAGACAATTTTTGAAATCCATTGATTGATAAAGATTGAACAGGATTTTATCTATTATCTATTTGAATTTATCAATGCTGGTGAGATCATTCAATCAATAATTAATTTTTGAAAATTTATAAGTTCTAGCAACTGCATAATTATCTGCATATATCTGCCAGACATATCTGTATGTTTGACTTTATAAATGCTGGTTAGTAGGTATTCTTCACTACTTATTTTTTGAAAATGTACAAGTTCTTGCAACTAGCAGAAGTTTGAAAATATCTCTAAATGTAAATTGCTTAAATTTTAACTTCATGATGTTATATGTGGAAGTTATATGGTGTTCACTTCTCGACGTTATGTGTGGAAAGTGTGTAAATATTGAGGTATGGCTTGTTATCTTTAACAGGCCAATCTATATTATATAAAACGCTTATACGTACGTATGTATCAATAAAACCAATGATATTTCTTTTCTCGCGTTGGCAACAGTTTACATTTTTAATTGTAGGCGTTTTGTACAAATCTCTAAACTTTTTTTCGTATTTATCCACATAATTAAGAAGTTGTGAACTCATTACATAAACACAATAGCATTTGTCTTCGATTCTCAACGAATTCTAACCGAATATGGGTGTGCCACATCTCCGATTTTCGCCGAGAAAAAAAATGGTTGGTTTTCAGATCTGAAATAGTTCCTTTTCATTGGCAGAAATGAGAAGTGTTTTGAGTTGAGCTCTTTACTATTCCACGCTTTGTTATATTATTAGATGCCGTTTTATTATTTCACGTTTTAAGTTAAATTTTATTAGAGTTAAATTATGAATCTTAATAATCTACGTACGGTATATAACAATCTACGAAGAAGAGAGAGCCGATCTAACGAAACTCCAGAAGAGCAATATCAACAGAGAACAATTAGAAATGCTACAGAGCGAGTTTTGTGGTTGAATACTGTTTAGAAATGTGTACATAATAAAATAATATTTAGAGGTTAAGAGTTGCCTCAGAAAAATTTGAATTGTTGACATTGTATTTAACAATGGAAACAATTGAATTGTATTGTTGACATCAGAACTAAAAATATCGTGTTTCAACTTGACAATACTACCTTAATTTTTACTTACATAATTCTATGATCATTTTTTATTTTTCTATATATATTTATATATATTTGCATTTTACAACTTCATATTAAACTTCTGTTGTGTGTCTGAATATATGTGACATTTAGAACAAAATTAAGGTTTAGAATTGCCTCGAAGAAATTTGAATTGTTAACAACGACTTAAACAAAAAGTTTTATTTTAACTGACTCATTTTCTTACTCTTTTCTTTGTTTTTTATACATTTTATATTTTTGTGATAGAATAAAATAACTTATAGTTGCTCTGCTTCTGAACACTGATGAAAACACATATGATGGGCTTCATCAAGAATAAAAAATATATGCATTTATATTACAAATTCCATATCATTAGGGTGGCACCCTTCAGAGAATTAAAAATACAA